CTCCCCGCCGGAGACGGTGCCCACCGCTTCCTCCCGCCCGGGGACGGTGCCCACCGCTTCCTCCCCGCCGGAGACGGTGCCCACCGCTTCCTCCCACCCGGGGACGGTGCCCACCGCTTTCTCCCGCCCAGAAGCGGTGCCATCCTCTTCCTCCCCGCCCGGGATGGTGTCCATCTCTTCCTCTCCTCCCGGGACGGTGCCATCCTCTTCCTCCCCGCCCAGGATGGTGCCCACCTCTTCGGACCTGGGGCCAAGTACGCTGGGCGGGACCTTCCAGTCCTCCAGCGAAAGCACTGAAACCCCGCGGGCCTTGCCTGGGACCTCCACCGTGGTCCGTACTGCCCAGACCTCATTGGCACCTGGGAATAAGACCATGGACGTCTTTCCAGGTGAGGGGAAACTGACCTCTCAGTCGTACAATTCCATGAAGAAAGTTAAGGTCACACTGAACGGGGAATGCTGGGGCAGTCGGAACAGAGGAGAGGCTATTTGGTGATCCTCATCTGAGTCTCTCTGCTTTGTGTTTTACTTTCCCAGTCTTACCCATCTGTGTGTGTGACTTGACTCCTGGCACCTGTGACATAAATTGTTGCTGCGACAGGGACTGCTATCTTCCCCATCCGAGCACCGTTTTCTCCTTCTGCCTTCCTGGGAGTGTAAGGTGAGCTGCAGTGTCGAGTCATTTTATTATAAATATATTGGGTTCTGGAATATTTGCAAGTAGCAAGAGTTAGCTTTCATGCCTCCTACCTCCCTTAGCAACCACTCCTAGGACCTGTGTGTTGCTCTGTGGCTACTCAGGGAGTCCTCTTTGGCATCTGGCACCCTTCTGTGGACCCTAACCCTCTGCTTCCAGATGTATCTGATTCTCTGTCCTGTTTCCTTCTAGATCTTCAAGCTGGGTATGTGTGGACAACTCTCTTATCTTCCGGAGTAATTCCCCATTTCCCACAAGAGTTTTCATGGGTTCGAATGGAATTAAGCAATTTTGTGTTCGTGTGAACAACTGTGAGTAGAAACAAAACCAAAACCACAAAGCTGTCTTGTAGATTCTGAGTATCCAGGTTTCTGAGGCTGTAAATCTTTTCAAGAGGAGACTGCCCATCTTTCTTCCAATGAGCACCATGTAGCTTGGAACTCCGAATCCTCTGGTTAACACAACCCACTGTAGCACCTAGGCTTCTAAGTAATGTAGATACGTTGCTGCCTGCCATTGATGACTGATATGATGAGGGTGCAAAAATCCCTGCCCAAGAATCAGGACCTCCGGAATCTACTCCTGGCCCTGCCACCTGGTTCTGTGACCCTAAGCAAAATGCTTATGTTTTTTTAACCTAAAAACAGTTGGACCAAATTAACTCAACTGTTAAAAAATGTGTTTGACTCTACCAACTGATCCATGAGGGTAAAAGGTGCCAGGATTTCCATAAAGATTACAGCCTCAAAAATCCTCAGGGTAAATTCTGCTATCCTACAGTGTCACTCAGGTCAGAGTGAGTGACCATCAATAGAATTTCCCCATAAGAGTTTTTGCTACAGATATGCTTCCCCATAGGATTTTTGCTGCAGAAGATCAAGGCCTATAGCCTTCATAAGGTGGCTTTCTGTGGAGTATGGCCTGTGTTACCTTTTTACAAGAGAGAAGAGAGCAGAGAAGGAAGAATCTCAAGCCAGGAGCAGAGCTTGTCTTAGCCCCAGAGTTGCTGTGCTGAGAGCTCCTAGACCTTTGGGAAGCTGATGCTGAGATGTACAGTGATCTCCAAGGGATGCTCCCACCTCTTTGTTGAGATGAGATGAGAACCTTCCCCCAGAGCTGACCCACAGAGAGAAAGCACTCCCCTGAACCCAACAACCTGAATTTGGACTTGCAACCTCTGGAGTTGTGAGAGAGTAAGAAAAAAAGAAAAATGGACTACAGTCTTCAACATGGATTACATTGCAACATCAAGAAAACAAAGGTCCTTACCACTGGACCAACAGGCGACATTGTGATAGACGGAGAAAGGATTGAAACTGTGATTTCAATGATTTAATCTTGCTTGGATCTACAGTAAAAACCCATAGTATCAGCAGTCAGGAGATGAGGAGACATACTGCTTTGGGCAAGTCTGCTGTCAGAAACCACTCCAAAATACTAAAGAGCAATGATGTCAGTTTGAAGACTAAGGTGTACCTGATTCAGGCCATGGTCTTACCAGTCATGTACTGTGCATCTGATAGCTGGCCAATGAATGAGGATAACAGAAGAATTGATGTGTTTGAGCACTGAATATCCCATGGACTGTCAAAAGAACAAATATGTCTTGAAAAACTGCAGAGTGCTCCTTGGAGGCTAAGGTGATGAAGCTCCAACTCTCATACTTCGCACATGTTGCTAGAAGAAGTTGCTCTTTGGAAAGGGTTATCATGCTTGGAGAGTCTGAGGGTCAGTGAAAGAGAGGAAGAACCCAGTAAGATAGATTGACATGGTGACTACAGCAGTGGTCTCAAGTGTATCAGAGATGATGAGGATGGCACAAAATAGGACAGAGTTCAGGTCTGTTGTTCAAAGGATTGCTATGAGTCATACTCAACTTGATGGCACCTAAAAACAATACAGGGTCACTCAGTCAGAATCAACACAATGGCAGTTTGGTCTAACTACTTTTAAGCTCTTTTAGGTATAATATATTCTGTATGATAGTGAAAATTGGGGGCAAAAATATTTATTCCCATGGTTTATATTCCTTATGGCCTGGTGGCCTAGTGGGTAAGGAGTTGTGCTGCCAATTCAAAGGCAAGCAGTTTGAATTCACCACCTGCTCCATGGGAGAAAGACGAGCAATCTCTTGTGCAGTTCACAGCCTCTGAATTTACGGGCAGTGGAGGGTCAGCTCTAAGTCGGTTCTGACTTGACAGCACACCAAGCCACCACACCAAACCACTGCCAGTGCCCTTGCACTGAAATGTGAAGTAAAAGGTTAACTTTCTGTTTTCATTTTTTACTTTCCCCCATCTCTGATTGTTTTATGCTTATAGAAAAATAGCCAGATGAATATTTGCCTTCTTAGCATGTTGCCATCTTGTTGTTATCTTTGTTAGCTTCTTTGGAAGGTTGGAAGCTTCAAAATCTGGATATTTCAGATCCAGCACCAACATTAGTCGTTCCAGAGCAATGCTTTTCAAGCTCTAATATGCTTGTAAGTCACTTGAGGTCTTCTTAAAACACAGATTCTGACTCAGGTCTAGGAATTTCTGCATTTTTGATAAGTTCCAAGAGGAGAATAAGGCTGGGTAGTATATGCATCCCACTTAAAAGAGCAAATATCGAGGGTTAGGATTTGGACACGTTTTTAGGAGGCACAATTCAGTCCATTACTGAATTGGACTTAAAGGAAACAGGAAGATTTTGGAGAACAGATAGAAGATTATCTCCAACATATTCCTTTGAAAACAGCATCATTTTGTAATACCAGAAGCTCACCTTGTATGTAACAAATAATATATTATTGGGCCTCCTATCTTCATCCTGATGGCACCTCACAGTTGAGTCAAAATCAATCCATTGGCCATGGCTATTTTCATCACAAATTGCAAATCATACACATTCCTGGCCTTCAGACATTTGGGACTGGCATTCATCCACCATGCTCTTATCTCCGATCTTAATACTAAGATGGTAATTTCAGTAACACGTTACAAATAAATTAGGAAGTGACAATATTATGTTTACTGCAGACAGTGTTGATTTATATAAACATATATAAATTTGTAAAACTTTTATAATTAATATTAGTGCCTTTGCAGACTTAACCATATATAGATTGTTGTTGTTGTTGTTGTTGATTGTTGTGGAGTCGAGCATGACTCATAGCGACCCTATGAACAAAAGGCCTGAAGCCCTTCTATATAACTACTCATTTATCAAAGTTCATAGAGTTTCCAGAAGCATGTTGTTTAGGAAGAGGATGCCACTCCTGCTTCCAAAATATAGATTATGCATCATTAAAAAATATCTTTTTTGATTAGTTTGGCATTCCACATTTTTAGATAATGATTTCTCTTTTCTCTGAACCCTTTTCCTTTTAAAAAACAAACAAATTTAGCAAGATCAAACTACTTCCAGAATCTCCAAGAAGTTAATACAACCAACTTTCAGGCCCTGGCTACAGAGTTTGGAGGCAAGTCATTCACTTCAACATTTCAAACCCAATCACCACAACCTTTTTACAAGGTAAGCCTTCAGAAGGGAATGTGTTGTTTGGTTTTTCCCTTCATAGAAGACAGTTACCATTTATCTTTGAAGTACCTTTCGGCAACTAGTTAAAGCACTGTCAGCTCTTTTAAAGAGAGGTATTGTCCGCACGTGGTATGTCCTGATGGTATAGTGCATACCTATAAGCAGATCAAATCTGACTTCTACTTGCTTCGCAAAAGGGAGGTTGCCCCATCAATAATATACATAGTACCGTACAAATAACTACATGGTCAGATAATGCCACTCCACATGCCCTTGTACCTGTTTCTACAAATCACTGGGTTCAATGTTCATTCCAAACTGACTCACAGACTTTACTCATAGTTGCAGGGTTTATTAGGGAGATAGGTTGGAGAGTGAGGGAGGCAAAGATTATCACACAATGAAAGTCCAGGTTTAGTCTGGCAGTCCCAAACCAGATTAACAAGTCACAATTTCTCGCTTAGTTCAGAAAGCTTCTCAGTCAACAAGTGAAAGTCCTAAGTTCCGTTCAGCAGCACAAATAAGCCTCTTGTTTCCTCGGTTGTCCAATAGACTTTATGTCAGAGCAGTTATAAGTCTGCTTTTCATTCAATCATCCTGCAAACAAAACCTTTAACAGTGGATCCATCTCCAGGGTTCCTCTGGTAACATCTTGCCACAGTTACTTCACAACAGCACCAGTCTCTTCACCCTTTCTGCACCACTATCATGTCTCACAATGTGGAAAGTGCTCTTGTATTGGTCCCACAGCTATTGATGACTTGTAAGACCGGGTGTCTGAAAAGCAGAGACCATAACCCCAAGGGCAACTAATGCAATGGCTCAGTAAGCCAATTTCAGGACTCTGACATGACAATACCCAAAAGATCGATAGCTCAGAAGAAAAATGATCAATTACTATGTCTGAAACCTGACAGAAGGTCCCTATGGGTTGGGATTGACTCAACAGTAGTGAGTTTGCTTTTGGTTTGTTGTCCACATTCACAGGCTATTAACAGAGTTAACACTTGTTTCATCCTTTTCTGGTGTGATTCAGGCCAGTCTCACTAAATAAATTTCTCTTACACTGTATTCAGGCTGGGGACCCAATTATGACTTACTTCCCCAAGTGGTCCGTAGTCAGCCTACTGAGACAGCCTGCAGAAGTGGGAGCTGGAGGACTCTGTGCTGAGAGAAATCCTGCAAGTAAGTTCAGGGCAGAAGTATCAGCCTTTTTATTAATTCAAAATAGGCTTTCTTACTCATCATTCCCTTAATTCTTTGTGTTTTAAGGTTTTCTAGAAAGTAAAAGTACAACATGCACTCGTTTCTTTAAGAACCTGACAAGTAGCTGTAGCGTGGATCCAGCCCTGGATGCTGCTTCTTACTATAACTTCACAGTCTTGAGGGTAGGTATCCTCTATCCTCTCTTTCCTCACTCTGTCACCAATGTGGATTTGAAATCAGCATCATACTTTCCACTGTTGATTAGTTGCAGAAAGAGCACTGGAAACCATACTGTCTGGAGAAAGATAAAGAATGAGGGAATCTATAACTAGGAGACTGGAACTCTGGTGGCCTAGTGATAAAAAGCTGTGCATCAATCCTGAAGGCACACAGTTCAAATCCACCAACTGCTCTGCAGAAGGATGGGCAGTCTCCTCCCATTCGATTAACTGCCTCTGAAAACCCAATGCAGGGTCAAGTATGGGTTGGTTCCTGCTTTACGGTAAACACCACCACCATCCAGGAGAATGAATCACTACTCCTGGTTAGTGGGATTGACTTGTACTAAAACTTACTGCTTTTACTGTTCAGTAAGTAAGCAAGCAGGTTTCTCAGTTCCTTAATCTCCCTTCCAGCTCCACTGTCTGGCACTGTAGTAAGAACAAGTCAAGCAGAAATGAAGAAGTAAATTATACTAATATGTTGGTTCTCCTTTCCCTCAACTGAAAGCTTATTGGTAGTAATAGGAAACCACAAGGTCCTGATTGGTTTATATAACATATATGCACATTTGTGATTTTTATTCTAGGTTCCAAGAAGTGTGACTGACCTACAGAACATGGAGGTATGCTGTTCTTAATTAAGAAAATGTAAAGACAATATTTCTCCCCTTTGCATCTCAGGGATTTCAGTCTAGATTGTAACGGTATCAGTTTAGACCAATGTTTCCTTAAGTGTGTTTTATACAACCAGCAAGTTTCATATGAAACGGAATTCATGCTCAATAAGCTGGAAAACCCTAGATTTAATGAAGTTAAACACTTTATTTATGGTGGACTTTATATGTGGAGTCCCTGGATAATACAGCTGGTTAACAATAGTTGGCTGTTGCCTAACAAAATTTGGAGGTTCAAGTCCACAGAAGAATTTCAGAAGAAAGATTAGAAGGCTACTTTAAAAAAATCTGTCATTGAAACCTATGAAGCACAATTCTTAGTTGACACACATGGGGTTACTGTGAGTCAGAATCAACAGCAGCTGATTTCTGCTCTAGACTCTAAAATGCTAGACAGCCTTGTTAACATCTAATAGGGGGTTGTAGAATGCAGTCTTTTTTAAAATTTCTTTAACCATGAGATCATTATTTTACACCTGATAGTAATGGGAATTGCTGTGAGGAATGCATCTTTAGAAGTGTTGATATAGAATGGCTTTTGAATCAAAGTTGTGGGCAGACAGTGGAAGAATGGAACTGGGAACATCAAGAAAGGGATAAAAAAAAAAGCTCATTCAGCATGATACATAGTTGGAAGGTAAAATGCTCCTTTTAACTTTGGTTGATTTGTATCTTTCCCTTGCTCTGTCCAGGTGCCTGTAACACTAGTCTCAGAGGCTGCTTCTCCTTTGTTGGCTGGAAACACTTGCCAGAATGTTGTGTCCCAGGTACCGATGCTGGCCTTGGTCTCTGACTGGTTCTTACTGACTGTTCCTTTTCCCTGGTTGGCACAGTATGAGCTGAAAAGACTCCTTTTAATCCGTACAGACTGGAGAATTTAAATGTATTCTAAGTATTTTAAAATTTATACTTCAGAAATTGAAGCTTCTCTTCAATTGCTTGTGATTCCTGTTCCTAACTATCTTTACTCAGCCTTTAGCAAGAGCCAGTTAAAACAGATTTCCATACTATGTCCACTTCTTTGTCTCCTTCTACCTACATTCAACTTGCTTTGCTTGTCTTAACAATAATTCTCCTCTTCTCTAAACCCTTTCAAAGAGCTCTAAGCAAAATTTTTTCTCATGACCAAATGCTATATGATCTTTATCCTTTCATGGTATTTGTATTTGGCTTTTTAAAGATTTTTTTTAGTCGCCCTCAGATTTATAATAAAAATTCTTAAAGACAAAATCTTCTGTCTTATACACAATGAGGAGAGCTCTGGTGGCCTGGGTAAGAAGTTATGGTCCCACACTGCAATCCCAGAGCTGTGCAGTTCGAATTCCCCAGATGCTCTGCTGGAGAAGGGGGAACAATCTCCTCCTGTACCAGCCAGATCTGATTTGATGGTACAGGCACAAAATAAAATAAAATATTTAAAAAAAAAGAAGTTATGGTCCCAACTCAAAGGGAGCCAGTTTGAATTCACCAGCTGGTCCTTAGAAGAAAGATGGATATTTATTTGGTACTAATAAAGAGCTGTGATACCAACCCAAAGGCATGTGGGTCAAATCCACCACCTACTCCATCAGAGAAATACAGGACTTACAGCTTCTGGAAACCCACTGGAGGGTCAGCTATGAATTGGTTCTGATTCGATGGCACATAACATCAGTATACACACACAATCTGTCTCCTAAATATGTTTTATTAATGTATTCTTCTTTTGCCTTTTAGGTGATATATGAGATAGAGACCAATGGAACTTTTGGAATCCAGAGAGTCTCTGCCAGTTTTGAACTAACCAACCTGCCTGTTGAACCAGATGTTTCCTTACAACAGCACTTCATCATTCGCTTCAAGGTTAGGGCACTTCTTTTGTAGAGGATTAGGACAAGAAAATAGGTCCCCTGCTACTGAAGCAAAGAAAATAAAATAAGAAAAACAAATAAGAATATGAAGACCTACTCCAGTCTGTTGGTTAAAGCCTTACCATTTAATACTCCATTTTCAAGCTGTATGCGGTAGAGATTCTGCAATATTTGTTCATTAATATTTTCTCTGATTTTATAGCCCTGAGCAAGGTAAGACTTTAATTTCGACTCAAAGCTCCTTTTGAAGTAATAATTTTGAATCATAAACTAAGCCAATATCCTACAGGAATTCTGTAACTAGTTTTCCTCATACTTCTGTATAGTCAGTGTTTTACTCACTTCTCACGTTCTCTAAATTCTTTCTCTTGACCATCCCCTTTGGCTTCTTTCACTTTCTTTCCCATTTTTTCAGACCCAACAAAGTACAATTTCTTTTCAACTCTACTTTCTGGTGCTCAAGTTCCTAAGAGTCTCAGAGTTGATTTTTGAGACAACTACATGAATATTGAGTTTAGATCTGTTGTTCATTTCCAACTTGACGGCACCTAACACCAAAAACTATGAATACATGTAATGTTTTAGAGCACACCCACAACGCAATTACATTTACATGCCTCTATTTTCAGCCAGGTTAAATGTATCCCTAAACAATAGTGATTTTTAACAGGATGAAGGGATCCTTGGTAGAAATAAAATACAGTAAATTTCATTATCAAAGTCACTCAGAATTTAGTGAGTAGAAAAACAACAGCAACAACAATTGCTACAGTTTGGAAAGAAGCCAGATTGTTCAGTGTGGCTAACTTGTTGAATTGCCTTAAGAAAGTATAAATGCTCCAAGAAAGAAAGAAAGAAAGTATAAATGCTATGCAGTGGGAGATGGAACTGCATACTTTTTTTCATAATTGAATTTTCTTTGCTCTTTCTGCAGGCTTTTGAACAAAGCACAGCTGCTTCCCTTCCAGGTACTAGAAGTGGGAATCCTGGCTATATTGTTGGAAAGCCTCTCTTGGCTCTAACTGATGGTATAAGTCATTCTGTATCCTTTTTGGTCTTTTGCATACGAATGAGAAAAACTGCAGCTACAGATCATTTGATTTGTCCAGTTCCCAAGGTTTCTAATTTTTAAGGTATTCAATATGTTTTTATATATTATAGTTTGTTTTGTTTTGGCTTTTTTCTTCTTGTTTTGTGCCATCTATTTGGATCAGACTGCTCATCCTTCTCCAAAGTAGCAATCTGGTAGATTCGAACCATGCACCTTCAGGATTGCAATGCGGCTTCTTGCCACTAGGCCACCAGAGCTCCCTTAAATACTATGTTTTGAAATGCTGATCAACAGCTTTAGAGCTTATGTTTGAGTAAGTAAAGATAGGTATCTCACTTACCTTTCAGTTCCTTTGTGTGGTTTTTTGCTTTGGTTCTTTGGAAAAACAATTAAAGGGATTTTTTGCCCCTAAACCCTGAAAATTATTTTGTTTTAGAGAGTCTACTAATTTTGCCAAGTTGATTAACATTGCCTGTGCAAGCTATTAAATAACTTGGTTTAGTACTTTTTGTCTGGTCTTGGGCCACGGCCTGCATTGTGATTAGTATGTGCCTTGTAAGGATTGGGAAATACATTATATAAATGAGATGTGTTGAAGCCAACTATGCAAATAACCTGTCTGTGGTTTACTGAGAGGGGATTGGTCAGTTCAGGACCCTGTGGAAGTGTCATGTCTTAAAATTGACAAGGAGCTGTGTATATAAGCAGCCAACCCCACAGAGGTTTTAAAGACAGGAAGGAAATCAGCAGGTAGAAACAAAAAGAAAGCAGAGAGACAGAGGAAGCACCTAAAAGAGCTATAACATGACCTAGGCCTATTAACACTAAAGATGGTGAGAAGCCTGGAAGAGGCCAAGTCAGAAAGCCCGTGGTGACAGATGGCAAGAAGTGGAGGCCAGTCATTGGGGGCTCGGGAAGCCAAGAGAACTGAAGGAGGGCAGCTTTGCCTATATGCTTTCTTATATTCTTGTAGCCTTTTAATCCTGCTCCCAAAATGCACCCTGTTCCCTAATACACCATTTAACCTTCAACCAGATGGATTGGCCCAGTGAGTGCAGCAGTGGGCTCAGGTATGTCAGAAATTATGAGGATGGCACAGATAAGACAAAGTTAAGATCTGTTGTTCATAGGATCGTTATGAGTTGTACTCAGTGGCAGAGTTGTCCACTTGACAACAACAACACAGTTTGTAAGCACTGAGATGTTGCAGTGAATTGGCAGATCCAAAGTTCAGAGGGAAGAGTAGTGCTAAGGGGAGGCACAGTGGCCAATGTCAAGAGATGGTGTAGTACAGCATCTTGGGGAATGTAGAAATTTGAGATATATTTGGCCTCTACCTCATCAAAATTGACTTTGTGTTGATCCTGGCATTATCTCCCTGAAGTTAGACAGTTTCTATTACTACTGTGAATCCCTAGTTTCATATCAGAGTAAAGATTGTGACTGAGTATTGTAAGATCTGTCCATGCTTACATGTATCTAAGCCTTTTTAGATGAATAATCATTTTCTCCTATTTTTTCCCCCAATTCCAGGGATGGGGGCAGGGAAGCAAATGATGTGACTTGAGGGTACTGTGATATTAATATGATTATAAATAGTGTTAAGAGAATGGGAGCATAAACTTTACAGTCCTGCCAACTTTTTTTTTTTTGCTATAATCTCCTTATTGTGATCCACATAGTCAAATACCTTTGCATA